CTTATTTCTCAATTACGCATGGTTCCTTATGTATCCCTTCATTACCAGTATGTATAGAGTATAACACACAGGTGTAACTGTTGCTTTTGCTGTTCATAAAGAGAGAGGCAACAAAAATGTACAGTATAATTAGAACTAAAATAACTAATATGCATATTATTATTATTATTATTATGGATTTATATAGCACCAGCAGTTTGCGCAGCACTTTACAAATTGGAGGGCGACAGTATAGTTACAATACAATTTAAATACAGGAGGGTTAGGTGGGCCCGAACTTACAATCTAGTAGGAGAGGCAAGTAACACAAGAGGTAATTATTGTGTGGGATGCGTTAATAGAAGAAGTCAAAGGACAGTTATTATGCTGAGGTATGATAGGCTTCCCTAAAAAGATGAGTTTTCAAGGATCTCCCAAAGGTGGGCAGAGTAGGAGATAAGCGGACAGATTGGGGGTAGGGTTCCTACTTAGAAGAGGGCAAATCTAAGAATATTTTTATTTTGAAATTAAATGTGTTGCATATTTTTTGCCTGTATGATGTTGATAAATTATGTTATTATTTATTTTATAAACAAGAAGTATGCTAAAAAGTTTATCCCGACATTATATATAAATGTTTATATAATAATTCCTAAGGCCAGGTTGGGCGATCCGAGACTGTGCGGCAATCGTGCATGAAAGTCCCACACCATCGCACGAAGTCGCACACCACCGCTGATGGTGCCATTTTTTCTAATGGCACCCTAGTCACACCAGGCAGATCATGCGGTTTCCCGCTGCGATTCTGCTCGTGCAATCACGCACAAAAAAAAACCCTGTGTCGCGAAAAAAGTTACATGTACCTTTCTTCACCAACTGCGCGGATGTAACTCCATTGAAATCAATTAGGGCGCACGGCAACCGCGGTGTGCAACCACACAGGTCCCGGGATGCGCGTTCCGGGATCGCCGCATCCTGCACCAGCCCTAAAAGACCCTACAGGTAACCTGTATTTTAATTCTCAGTGAGAGATGTTCACTTGTTGATAGTCACTTAATTTGCAGCACATTCATTTTGATTGGGCACATTCATTTGACTGTTGAAAATTTGATTAGTGCCAGCAAGTGGTAACATTTTGAGAAGCATGAAATTAAAAATGACCAATGTAGTTTAGTCCTAAGAAACACTATTCATATGCAAAACATAAAAACATTTTTTGTCATGTTTATGAATTCAGTTTATAGTTAGAGTACCCAACTAATGTTGTCTTCCCTCTCTAGGCCAACTTACTTTTATATGTTTTTAAACACACTTATTATTATTATCACTATAGGGTGAAGAGTTTGGAGAAGGCAGGAGAAGTGAACAATCTAGGACAACATAGCTGAACTGGAAACATTCTCCAATTCAGCTCACTTTCCAGTTCAGCTATTTTGTTCTAGATTGTTCACTTCTCCCGTCTTCTCCAAACTCTTCACCCTTTTGTGAATAGACCTATTATTCTTGGTAATTAAACTGTGTAAAATGCTACTTTTTAAAAAGTTTTGTCTTTGTGTATTTAAGATGAAAAGCTCATGCAACTTTTTTTTAATTTTTTTTTTATCGTAGATCAATAAAATATCAAAGGAAACCTGTGAGGAGGGGTAGGCTGCCTATTCTGATGTGGAATAAGTATGCTGATAAGGAGTTCTGATATCACTAAGACTTTGCTTGCCGTATGCTTGTTCTGTTCTTCAAAAAGTATTAAAGCCAAAGACAGCCAGGCAACCTGGAAACCTGTTCTGAGAGAAATAAGTAAGGTGCCATTGCTGAGCTCTGCTTCTGAAAATGGCTATCACGTTGATTCAATTAATTCAATCATTACTAGTTAACCGGCCCTGGAATATACATGAAGATCATGGGGGTGATTTACTAACCTAAACACACGCACGCACTAGGTGCGTGTGATTTTTACACAGCAAAACGTATTTATCAACCAAAAAGTCTCTAAAAGCATATTTCCACTAATGCCATATATGGAAAAATCATGCACATGATGCATATATAATGCTGCTTCACAGTTTAGACAAAAATGGTTAGCTCATGCATTTACATTCCAGCATTCATCAATGCAAGCAACACAACATAGCGCTAATTTACACAACATCCCCTTGCAAATTCATGCAGGGCTTTGCACAACACACCTGCTGGGTGTGTACACACTACAAAGGTGTTTAGATTCCACCAATAGATCATGCTGGGAGGGAACACACTACAGAGGTGTATACATGTTCGTGGTGTGTTTATAAGGTTAGTAAATCAACCCCTATGTGTTCTGTCTTTACTTCGACTTTCCTTGCTGCATGCCTCTTATGGGTCAGTGTTTCTGAAAGTAATAAAGCCACAGACAACCAGGCAGCTATGTTCAGCAATGGCAGTTCTTGCCAGTGTTTTCTCTACAGGTATTCTTCAAGGGATGCATCTGCAGTGAAACATGTCCACTCATGTATTTTTTGGTTCCTACTGAAGTCAGTCTAACATGCAAACTTACACACTACACAGAAAGCAACATTATAAAACATTATAAAATACACAAAGTACAAGGCTTCATTTGTTTTTCTGCAACGGAAACTTGGAAACTAATGAAGGACTTGACCAATGTGCTTTTGCAGAAGACCAATAGTATGCAGAAAACCTGATGATTTAAACATGGACTGTTAAGCTGGCCATACACTGGTCAAAGTTTGGGCGAGTCCTGGTGAGTTGGATGATATTCGACTAGTGTGTGTCCCCCATGGCAACCCTCCACAGTGCTGAATGAGGGAAAACATTCAGTGTATGCTAAACTATGTATACTGGAAATAAAGCCTGAAGGGTGGATTATTGATTTTTTTTAAGGCATACTAGGCTATGTATAGAACTTTCATGTAACTGACAGAAACACAAGGAATTAAAAAATCAGGTGGTATGGAAGGCAGCAAACTTTTCTGTCATACAACTGAATTCCTATTCAGTAATCCCCTAGCAGAAAACTACTATTTTGTGTCCTTTGTCTCACATGAAGCTATTCATGAACGCACACAAACAAGGAGTCCCAAAAAGTTACATGAATCTCAAGTATTATGTACTTCAGTACACATAGTTGAAAATGCTATTAGTTTTTTTTTATGATAACATTAATTTAAGGTTTTGTGGCTCTTCAGAAATATAGCACCCTATATTCACACCCACATCTGTAGATAAAAGGACACAGTTCAGCCTATGAAGCATGCTGCATTGCTAGTACTGGATATCACTAGAGGCAATGTGTATCTTTGTATGAAGCGAACAGTACACCGAAGTCACCTTTACAGTCTCATCCTCTATGTACACTAACAAATAATTTTTGAGTTTGCCACCCATGATTCAATATACATGTATTTATGGCATATGGTTAAACATTATTGTTTTAGAGCAACACATAGTTACATAGTTACATAGTATTTGAGGTTGAATAAAGACATTAGTCCATCAAGTCCAACCTATTAGGATCTCATTCTAGGAGTAACATGTAGAGAAAGAGAAATTTCAGGAAAATTCCTTCCATCCAAGAGCCTGGGATCACCCTTGTAAAATGAGCAGCTGACTAGCTTGCAGAAATTAAGTGCCTTATGTAAAAATAATTGAAAAGTTAAAGCATATACGTTCTGACATTTTTCTCTTCTTAAATGTATATGATAAAAAATTATCCTTTAAAAATGGGGCCAAAATTCTTGGCTTGGCGATCTAGGGGAAAACCGCGTACAAATAAGCATGTGAATGACCACAGTCACTCATCATTGACATGGAGTTAAATATATGCACCTGCTGGAATGGTCATGCCATGGACGTGTGCATGCTGCTGGAGTGGATATGAACAGGGAATGTTAACTGTTCATGAGCTGGTATCACAAACTGTTCATATAGCAGAAAACTATTGGAAGCAACTTTCATATACATATGATAAATGGACAGGTTGTTAGTTCTCAGCTTCGTAACATTTGCCATTGTGTCCAAAAATGCAATAAAACATGAAGCAAGGCTGTGTGCGACACAACGTAGGTATAGACAAATACCAATAATAGAGACATAGATAGATAGATAGATAGATAGATAGATAGATAGATAGATAGATAGAATATGCCATAACGTGACTAAGATGTTTTATCATTTACATAGAAACCACTATTATTCTTAATATATGTTTGGCCTCCTGCCCCAAACATGTACTATTATGGGCAATGGCGGCTGCACATTGCACAGCGATTTGTTCTCATGATGTATAGTCGCTGGAAAGTAATACATTACAAAATACCAGTGTATTATTATTTATACTTATCAATCTAGAATCAAGTTTCTGAAGTCAAAACTATGAAACTATGAGGCTAATTTATCACCGGAGTTGAGAATGATCACACAAAAAAAAGTGTGTGAATATTCACTTCAAATATCCAATTGTGCAAAAGAAAATGCCTGCTTACTTAGAACACCCAATCATGTACAGAGGAAATAAGTAAACAGGAATGTGCTTTTCACATGATTGGATAATTGAAGTAAACATTCACTCAATTGCTCACCTCCTTTAGGAAATCAGCCTGTATCTTCTAAAAATTAGCAATGATTTTGAAACAAATGCCTCCTACACTTGTCATGTAGGCATTCTTAACCTATACAAATATGAAACACACCCACTTGGTGCATTGCACTTACTTCAGTAACATACATATAATTGTCATCAAGCACGACTGTAATGTAAGAACTGTACGTATCATACATCCTTTGACCGCCCTCCACACATGGAAACAATACAAGGTGGTCATTTAAAAGACGCATACATTCAATGCAATATAAAGTACATTTAGTTGCAGGATTTTCTTGTATTACTTGTTTGCAAACATCTATGCTCAAGGAGAGCTACAGATTACAGTGGCATTGCAGTTTACAGACTCCCAAGCACATAGCGTAGAGACACACATGCTCTCTCATTGCCTTTTCCTTGCTCCAACTCTAGTGATTGTCCTTACCATTCTCTGAAGAGGTTGAGTTGTCACAGTCTGAGATAAGCTGCTGAGGTTTCCTTTGCTTCCTCCGTGACATTTCAGGCACTGGAAACACTGCTTACAAAGAACAAGTGTACAACCTGATATCTGACTGCTCCTTCACAGTGGCTTAGATTCTTTGTCTTTTGTCCACTTTATCGCTTACTGCCGGATGGCATTTAATAAGTCGCATTTATCAGTCTTTCTTGCCTTTCATGATCTATCTATCTATCTATCTATCTATCTATCTATCTATCTATCTATCTATCTATCTGATCAATTTATTTGCTGTGTTTCTCTACCTCTTACAAGAGTACCAGGAACTTTCTTTGTCTTCCTCACTCCCCCTGAGGCATATTTAATCTCCCTTTCCTTTATCTGAAGCTCTTGTCCCAAACTCTCAGGCACATCACAGTTGGTCAGCTACTAATCAGACACTCCTACATTTTCCAACTCCCACTTATTGTGACAAATAAGGCAAGAATTCCATGAAATTGACTGATTGCCCTGTGAAGTGAGTGCCTAGCCCTCCCCCAGTGTCACCTTCTTTTTAGAGTAAGAAGATAGTTTGAACAATGGAGCTTCGTGAGGCATCTATTTGGAAGATGCTATGCCCCTAATATTATTTCACGGTATTGGTATCAACGATGATAGCATTATAATGTCATATTTAGTGGTGGTCTTGCCAGAATGCCGCAGTTTTCTCAGTTAGCAAAGTCTATTAAATTTTTTGTTGTTGTTTTTGCGACCACCTGTCCTAAACAGCCAACTGAGACACTTTTGTACAGGTCTGCAACAGAATTGCTACTGGAGATAACACAGATTTTAGTGAAGATGAGACAAAATTTCATTAAAATAGGCGCACAATTAAAAAGTGGTCAGGGTCAGGTTTTATTGTCTCAGTACTACTTGAGAGCACCTGAGGGAGAAAGTTATGAAACTTCAAACTTAAAAACTTTATCACACGGAAAAAAATATTATAACTGTCTGAATGCTCCTGTTTAGCACTACCTTGTTGTGTGATAGAAGCATAAATGTTTCCATGTATATCTTTACTCTTTTTCTGATGAAAATCCAGTTGAATAGAAAAAAGTTTGTCTGTTGTCACATCCTTTCCCATTATTAATTTATCTTTTCAAAAGTACACCCCAGTCAAAATTAAAACTTAAGCTTTTAGATACATACTGTACAGGGGAGAACAGATTATCTGCTCACAACTTGTTTTTTTAATTTTTTTATTATCACAGCATTACTGCAATGCATCACCTTTTTGTTTACAACCCTTTTTCTGAAATCTGGTGATCCTGGAACACACTTGTTGAAGATGCTTTCAGTTTCTAAAGACCTATTGTAAAAACTGTCAGCACTGAGATGTTTTTTTATGATCACTAATCAGATTTGAATCCTAGACTAGAAATTTAAAGGTGATTTGTGATACTGGAAGCAGAGGGAAAATAAGTTACAAAGCACAAGTATCAGGAAGTGAACTCCTACCCTTACCTGATGATCATCTATGGAGATGTGTGGTATATTTGCCAAGCACAGAAGTCAAATTAATGTTCAATTAAAACTTTAAGCTTGAGTCCAACTTTTATTGTATAGTATTAGTAGCTCATAATTGCTTTCCCGTGTTGTCTGGAATCACTTTTAATTATGCCCTCCAGCTGATAAATAAATAAACAGTGTCAATGTGCGCATGACCATTTTAAATAAATGTGCATAGTGGCAAAAGAGGCAACAGTGCAAAACCTCCTATAGTTTATGTATTTTTGTTATAGAGTTGGAGCAGGGCAGTCCCTATAATTAGGCAGCCTCGGGTGGTTTCCCATTTGGTCACGTGTGTGGGGGTGCGGGTGGCAGCTAAGAGCTCTTAACAACCTGTGAATTTCTGTCCGGCTTCCTGCCCAGCTCACTGACATACTGGTTGGCAGGAGTTGCGCGGGATGCTCTGGCTGGCATCCCACCCAGCTCCTGGCAACCAGTGATGTCAGTGGGCTGGGCAGGATGCTGGACAGAGCCTCCAGACCCAGGGGTAACTAGCATCCACTGCCAGCACCCCCAGCCCCCACCCCTGGGAACAGGCATTCACTGCCAGCACCCTCCCCTACCAGAACAACAATTCACCACTGGCACATCCCCCCACCTCAGGTGGCAAATATTGTAGGGACAGAACTGAGTGAAAGATTTAATCAGAGGGTGCCAACACAGCACATTTCCCACCCCTACTTTACTAAAAGAGTTGGGAATATACATTCAATAGATTTAGTGAATATTGTCTTCAGTTATTCAACCATGTAAAATTAAATTCTGATTTATTTAATCTTTACATGACTGGGTATGCAAAGCACACTAGAATTTATTCTCACATGATTGGATAACTGAAGTGAATATTCACTCAATGAGAAGAGAAGAGTTTTAAGTACTTTGTGAATCAGCCTTATAGTCTGATATGGGGTCTAATGCTTGTGCAAGTTAGTCCTGGGAGATTAGTACAGAGCCACCTGTATATTTAAATCACTGCAATGGAAAATAGATTAATAATGTCTACAGTATATCATGTTTGGATCATTTACTTTTCTATTTTTTTTATAGCAAATATGCACACAAATGCTATCATATATATGAAAATAAATATTTGAGCTATTTGATTAAATGTACAGATAAATAACATTTTAGTTAATATTTGCGTTGGTTAAGTAGGTTTAATACAAGTTCGGCATGGCTTACTCTTTTCTTCAGTGTTTCTTTTCTCTACCTCTTATTC